AGATTTTAGCATCGAGAAGAACATATGATAGAAGATCGTGAGGTCCATCGAGCCGACTGTTCGATCAACATCAATCTTTGTTCGTGTTGTTCACGCTTCAAGAGGTAAGTAAACCTTAATTCCGCTTTGCAGGGTTAAGAGATGAATAAAGAAAAAAAATATGTATTCGATTATATGCACCGTCAACGATTCTTGAGATTGTCATTCTAACAGATACAACGAAACTATATGACATGAATTGCAACGGTAATGAGGCATAGTTTAAGATTGGATCATTTCAAGCTTTAAGTAGTTCTAGCTATTGATTTTCACAATATGATTCTTTGGAGTTTTTATATACTAATATACTGAACTCAACTTAACAAAGTCTTAATTTTAATTATTTGGGGTCGGCCACATGAATCTTGTTTCTCCATTGTGCTCTATCAACGACCGTATTTTCTATGTAGAGCTTAGAAGAAAAAAAAACTAATGATCTCCCTTTCAATATGTGCCTCATCCTTGATCACCACACTAATGTCCAACTCCAATTTACTAATTTCCTTCCTATTCCCATTAACCACTCTATGAAAACACTCAATATTATTGTCCCCTTCCTTCACCCATTTCACACTCCATTTTTCCCTCCAATAACTTCTCCTTCAAAAACCACCCCTTCAAACTTATTTCTCTAGTCCTACCTGTAAAACCCGGGTAAATTTGAACTTTTACGTAAAAAGGACAAAATGGTAATTTATCACTATAATGCAGGTTTAAAATCAATATTTTTTTAGAGCTTGGATGATGCAACGGACCTCACCGTTGAATTCGTATCGCGAAATCAAGCTGTCATGTCAAATTCTGAGATAGTAAAATTTTGTACGTTGTACGAGACAATTTGGGTAACGAATGACTTAACAAACGTCCCAAAAAACAGAATTTTTAAAATTTCCTTATAATAGAATTAAAGTTCAAATAAAATTAATTTAAACTTAAATCGAAGTAAAATTAAGTCGTTTCGGGACAAAAACGAACCCGAAAGTAATAAACGTACGGGACAATGTAGACCGCGCAATTAAAAAGTATAAATAGGACAAAATATCTAAAAAATCAGATATTCTCAACCCCAAAGTCAGCACACTCACACGTTGGAATAGAAGAGAAAAATCAAAAATTCTACCTTTCTTCTTGCGATCCAAGGAGTTCCGTCGATCGGAATTCCTCGAACTAATAATTAAAGTTGGTCTACGCGACGAGGGCTACGCATACATACCAAGAACGAGAAATTTCACTGAAGATACGAAGAAGAATTTTGAAAAATCAAGATTTTTGGGGCTAGGGAGGTACCTAAAAACTTTCTACCTTTCGTATCACGCACCAAGAGGTAAGGTTTCCTCCTACTTTGGACTAATTTCTATCTTATGGTGTCCACATGTAATGGTTATATGTTTGGGATGACTTATGACTTACCTATAGTCATGGAAATTAGAAAAAATGGTATAGAAATGGCCTAAATCAATTTCTAGCTTGATTTGGCTATATGGAAGTGCTTGTGAAATTCCATGAAATTGGATTTTATGTGGACATGCTATATGTTTATAATGTGTCTTGTGATTTAAGTGTGTTATTGACATGGATTATGTGGTAGCATACTTGTGAATTAATTGGATATAAATGTTGGTATACGTTCATTGGTATGTTGACATTGTGATAGAGAATGGTAATTATATCTTTATGATATAAATTGTCATGACATATGTTGAAATATGTAGTTAAATTGCTCATTAGCATTCCTTGCATATTGGGCATGACATCGACATTGCAATGGAACATTATATTGCATATTGCACGGAGAAAATACATCCATGGCCATGAATATGGGTGTGTGTGTGTGTGCATGATTGGATCAATCATCATACTTAGTGATTGGTGATGGGCTCGAAAAAAGTTAGATTGAAAATCTGACTGAGTCGCATGGTTGCATGAAAGAAAAACTTGTGTCGGGTATAGCAAAAAGAGTTAGACACTCCCTCGGGTGAAAGACCTGGCTACTTGGTTCATACACTCCCCTGAGGTGAAATTCCAGAAAAGTATTATGGCGTACAGAGCCAGCGAAGTGATTCCAAAATCCGATACCCAATAAAGACACATGATTTTGTTAAATAAATGATTCAATTGATGGGAAACATCTAGAAATGAATTGGTTTTATGAACATATGATTTTATTTAAAAATGGTCTTTAGATGTATTTCATCAAGGACAAATGTTTTACACACATGCATTGCATTGTGTTGTGAGAGCCGGAGTAGGCTTGGGTGAAAATGCATGAGCGAGTCTCACCTCATATCATGACATGGCATGGTAGAAATTTTATCTTGAATAGCATGTTCTTGTATGAAATGGATTTATGACTGTGGTTGTTGAATGTAAACATTACATATGCATTTAGGTGGAGAGTAGCCTCTGTAGAAAATACTCTACTGGGCGTAGCTTATCTTATACGAAAACACATTTCAGGTGCGGGGTTCGTGTCGGCAGAGGACTCGTATTCAGGGCCTCAAGAGTGAAGATAGGCCAACTTGTGGCCTTTAACCTTGAATGTTGTAATGTTTTGATAAAAGCATGTTTTGGGCATGTAAATTTATGTAAATAAATTGTAATGAACTTGTGTAAATGAGGTTTTATGTAAAAAACTTTATTATGTATGTTATAGATGAAAATGAGATGGTTTGGCATAGTTTAAAAATGAAAAACAGGCGAAACAGGCAAAGGAGGGCAATGTGTACCGGTACAGTTTGTCTAGAGGAAAAAGTGTACCGGTACTGTCTGTCCAGAAGCCAAACCGTACCGGTACAGTCTCCTAAAATTTAAAATTTTAAAACTAAAGTGTTGTGCTCTCGACCTTTGATTCCTTTGGTTCCAAAGATGTAATTGGACAATAAAGCGGCATAAATTGTGGTATTTTGAGCCACAGTTGTATTAAATGACAAAACATACACAGGTTACACATGTGGGTTAAAATCCCGGTTAAAGAGATACAATTAACGTGATGTCGGATTAAGCGGCATTCACAGCCATTTTCACGAGTTGGCGGGTCGTCAATGGGACCCCCGGTTTTTTGGGGCGTCACACTACCTCTCTTTCCTCAACTCTCGTCTAAGAGTCCCATTAACCATTCCATGAAAAAACTCTATTATTTTCCCCTTCCTTCACCCATTTCACGCTCCATTTTTCCCTCCAATAATTTCTCCTTCAAAAACCACCCCTTCAAACTTATTCCTCCAGTCCTACCTATCTTTCCTTAACTCTCATCTAAGAGCCCCCCTTCTTCGATCTTATCACGATCTCTAACCCTCTCCAAAATCCAAACATTTGACATATTGATATCACCAAACTCTTCTTTGTTCCATATCCCCATTTTCTAATTTAAGGAACTCAAGTTTTTTCATAACTTATATTCTTCCCACTCTTGTAAATCTCTTGCAATCCACCAATCCCTAACATTCTCCCAAAATTTATTATGTTCTGACCACATATTTTCAAACCTAAAAAGACCTAGACCCTATCTCATAACAGAATTATCAAGAACCACTGGACAATAATTTGACACAACTCAAGTAACACCTCTTGTCTCATCCACAAAAAAAAAAAAAAAAATTCCTCCGACCCATCCAAAAAAATTACTTTCCCCAATAAAAGAACCAAAATCCCTAATGTTTCTGGTGATTCTCCCTCCATTTAACTTCTCTGAAGGATATCCAATGACGTTAAAATCTCCACCTATGCACCGAAGAGACTACACATACCACATAACCACGCCAACTCTTCCCACAACCTATTCCTAATCCTAGGTTTGTTAGGCCCATAAACCCTAGTTTACCACCAAGCCATCCCATCCCTCTTTACAACTTGAACTTAAATTGTGAATTCACCTTCAACACATTCTTCCACTGGTTTTCACATGCACAACCCTCTCATCCCCCACAACAAGTTTGCCCCTGAACTACCCACCAAAGGTAAATAAAAAAACCCCAATTTTGAACCTGGATCCCCACATACTTTTATTAACCCTTCTATGAACAACTTCCAATTTAAAATCTTGCAACAACACAATATCCAGCTCAATTCTCCCAAGAAACTCTTTTATTGAACTCCTTTTACTACTATAACCTAACCCTCACATTCTAACTAACAATCTTCATAACAAACTAAAATTCCCTCAACCACCTTTCTAGCATTCCCTACATCATAGTTGATCCTAGAGTTTAAATTTTTCTATTCACGAACCCTTCTCCTCTTACTCACACTCCTCCCATCCCCTTTAGTCCTACCCATTCCTCTTTGTAGGAACCAAGGACAACCCCAGTTTTTCTAGAAAATTCTTAAGTATTACCCAATTTTCGTCATCAGACATACACAACCTATCCTCGCTTGCAACAATCTCACCCTTCTCACCTTTATTATCTAACAAGTCCGTTTTCAACTAATTCTCATCCCCTTCATAGCAAACAATAGCTCTATCAGACAACCTTAGAATTTATTGGGGCAAAATTCACCATGGAATCCCCATTATCAAGACATAAATTTGTCTAATTAAAAAACAAATAATGGTTCAGCTACAGTGCCTGATGGTGGCCATTTCCAAATACCCAAGGAACAACCCTTCTCAAGGGATACCCTCTCCTTCCTGGAAAGGAAACATTCATTAGGCTTAGACTAAAACTCTATCCCAGAACAGAAAGAGTACTTCCCACCTCACCCCATACTAATTACCCAAAACAGAAGCAAAAAAATCCAATATCCCTCAGAACATGACTACTGAAACCCCCCTTGGAACCACATAAAGAAAAATAGGACACAACCCCCTTGAATTAAACCCACCTCCCCCCCCCCCTTTCCCTTTCCTAAAGGCTCAGAAGGTTTACTACTCACTTCCTCAATGCATACACGGGCATTTGTAATAAACTCAAAACTATACCTTACCTAGTAATGGAATTTGCCAACTGTCTCACTTCTTTTGTCTATGAATTAGTCTCCCTAAGGTCATTCATCTTTGGCAAATTAAACATCTTCCCAACAACACTAAGAACTTCTTCAAGCTTCAACTGAAGCTCCTTCTCACTTTTATCACAATATGAACCAATTTGTGGACCACTATCCAAGTTACCCATCCCATCCGAATGCAAACCCACCCCATTTAGATCAATATAGCACTCTTCAACCTCTAGAAATGGCTTCCACACAAGACCCTCCTCCCCTAGACCATTATCTTCATCAAAGTCCTCGCAAAATCAAAAGCATCATCTTCGTCATTTTCCTATGCATCATCGTTGTCATCTTCCTCCATCGACTTCAGCTATACACCCCTCACAACATAATCCCTAAACATTCATATTCCTTCTCCCTCGTTGGAGCCACAAACATCGTTAACATGGTTCAACAGTAAAGCCCTAACGGGGGGCTCATTTGATTTATTAGAGAGTGTAAGCTAGATCCGGCTTTTTACTGAAAGAGGCAGGATTTTTTGGGATAAATGGGCCAATTTTGAGAGGCCCATCAACATTTAGAAGCCACCCACCCTCAGATTTTGCGTTAAAAACAAATTTAGAAACCGAAGGCAAAATAATGCGATGGCCCTTATTAAAAGTCTTCTTTTCCTTCCAACTCAAAAGACTACCTCTACCTTCAGTCTGGCCCATTTGGTCATTAATTCTTTTATTACCTTTCCTTAACCATATTTCCAAAATTCAAATCAAGGTTAGAATTCCCTGAATCATGGGATTTGGAGCCATTAATTGCCTTAATTGCATCATTAACATGACGATTTTTCGAAGACAAAACCGCAACTTCCTTATGTTTAGTACACCATAGTGTATCTTTATTTTGTTCTATCTTTCCTCCCTTTGTGCCGCGTGCCCCTCCTAGCATCCTCCCATCATCTTCAACCTCAAGATCAAGGTACCGACTGTTAGTGCTACCTCCTCTATAAAACCTTTCTCGTTCCTCATGACTAAGCCTTCCCAAACAAGAAAACCCAGATTGGAAAACTTTCCTATTAAACTCTACATTCAACGCAATTCTACAAAAACCCGAAGCTGGTTTACAAACTCAAATTCACACCCAAATACAAATTCTTGTGTTTCCAATTCTATTATTAACCTTCCAAGCATAAATCCAAATTGATTCTCAAACGGTTTTTTTTAAGTCTTAATTGTTGTTCGAACACTCTATCCTAAAGTTTCAATGTATGAGCTATTACTTTAATACCTCGATATTTTGGGCAACTCTTATGTACTGTTATTTCTATATATAAGCAATGTACAATCTTCCTCTATAAACAAACAATCTCTTAGTCACTTTAATATCTTTAAATAATTTAGTTCGTCAAGATACTCCTATATCTTTGAACAAATTCCAAACCTCAATCCATAGAGATCATCAATTTCTAAACAGTTTCCAATTTTTATTCTCTTTAGCACACTACTTACTTCAGACCATAGTTATCAAATCGGGTATCGGAAGGCGTATCGTATTTTAAAAATAGTGTATCGTAAGATACGGTGTAATTTTAAATAAATAATAAAAAAATATAAATACCTTTAAAAAAAATCATACACTCATAAAAACATAGCATTTCATTAATACTCCACCAACTATTCAAGTCATCGACATAATCCACTACTATTATAATGCAAAGTTCACAACCATAGTTCACTAATTCAACCACTGTTTAAAATTAATCAAGATTCAGAAATTTTTATACAAAAAAAATATATATATATATTTGGCTTTGTAAATAAATTAACATCATTTCTTACTGCACAGGACCACAGGTCGATGGATACTGGGAAGAAGAAGAAGAAGGGAGCTTCAATGGAGTACCTGGAGAAGGAAGAAGGGAGCTTCAATGGAGCCTGGGCTTTGATGGAGGCAGCTTAGATGAAAGAGATGCAGCTTCGAAGACTAGCAATCACCGATCACCCACAGTCGAAGACTAGCGATCACCCACAGTCGAAGGATCACCCACAGTCGAAATCTCAAACCCACAGTCGATCATCCACAGTCGAAATGTCAAACCCACAGTCAATCACCCCCAATCGATCACCTACAGTGAAATCCCACAGTTATCACCCACACTCGTCGTCGATGGCTGAAGGGAAAACCAGGGACCTCTGAGGCTCTGCCCAGCGATGAATATGAGAAATGAGGGATTTTATTTTTTTTTGCAACCCTAGCCACTGAAACGACGTCATTTCAGTGATTATAGGGATTAAAAAAAAAAAACTTAGCACAAAACAACGTCGTTTCAAAAAAAAAATTGCACATATCATGCGTATCGTAAAAACGTATTGTGTATCGGACGATACAACGCAAAAACGATACATAACTATGATCTGTATCGTTTTAGGCCTGTATCTTAACGTATCGTATGATACGTATCGCGTATCATACGAAACTAACAACTATGCTTCAGACATCATAATTTTATGGGAAAAAACAAGTTTTCCCAAGCTCCCCAAGGTTATTATGTTCTTTTTTTTATCATATTCTTCACCACCTAAATTTGCTATATAATTTCCATTCAAGAACCTTTCTATAATTTGTTACATTTTATTAATTCGCTCATTTTGTCCAAAGAACATTTAATCCTGTCTTAATATGTTAAAATCTTGAGTTTTTCTTTTCATCAATTTAGCAAGTCTATAGATATTTTTCTCTACATCCTTTGTACCTAGCTTAGAATAAAGATAATCATATACCTCTATCTTTGCTTCTCTTATCTTTTTTTAACATCTTTATCAGCAAGCCTATATTGTTTAGAATTTCTTTGCTTCTTGTTTTTTGCCATGTTCTATACCATTCTTTTTGGTAAACACAGTTTCCACCAAGTTGCTTTAGCTAATGGTCCATTACCTGTTGATTCTCAAAAAACCCCTATTAATATCTTTTTAACACATCATAGCATTTTATCTTATTACATTACTTTTATCTTCTAAATTGCTTGTTGCTTATTTAGCAAATCATCATTAGATAAAAAAAGAATTCTCTTCTTTCAAGTTCCATCACCTAATACCTAGATTTTTAATCTCTTTTCTTAGTCTAAACGAGCTTGAATACATATATCTAATATCATTGTCCTAAGTTGTGTGGTCAAACTCTATCCTAGAATAACCTTTTGGCCAATTTCTTCTACTATTTCAATGCCTATAGTTTCTAGTATAATAAATTTTATAATATATTTTTCCTATTTCTCTTGCTTTCTCTCCAACACAATTAGTCTCTTTTAAACATGTTATATTGAATTTTCTCGTAATCATGATTTAAACTACGAGTGTTCTTATATTCCAAGTCAAAAACCTAAGTTTGGTATTTTAGCCTAGTTTCCTAACTCGCACTCGTCTAGAATGATGCAGGAACCCTCACATTTTTGACACCATCCGTGTGAATAAAATGGGGCGCCCCTTACCTATTTTTGAGACACCGTGATGCAAGGCAGTGCTCTTTGCGCATTTTTAAAACAAGAAGGTGCAGAGGCAACATATTATTTAAGTGTGCAGGGGCAACATATTATTTAAGTGTGTAGGGGCAACATATTATTTAAGTGTGCAGGGGCAACATATTATTTAAGGGCTATGAAGCATAGACGTAATTTAGGTTTACGTATCCGTGTCTGACAGTTTTGGGACACAAAAATTTTCAGACACATGTCAGACACTCAAAATAAAGTGTTCAATTTTTTTATGTTTTTGAATTTCAGACACGTCCGGGACATGTTGGGGAGGCATCTGGACACGTTAGGGTCAAGTTGAAGCCAATTTGCAATCTTTGGAAAGTAGTCACAGCAGGTAGTTTGCAGAATACAACGAAATAGATTGCAACTCTATAAAGGAATAACTTCAAAGACTGAGTTATTGTGTAATGGGAATAACTTCACTATAATAGACTCCATAAAAAACCTGTAACTCTATAAAAGAACTCAACTGAATCGTGCAAGAGTGAGGTGAATCAATCTCCATCATTTACCTAGACTTTTATATTTAGCATATCAATAATTATTCATTGAGCTTCATCTGATTTATAGGCTTATTTTTTCTATCATTGTTCTTTTCTTTCCTTGGTCTGATTTCTTATCCAATCTCTCTTAATGTACTATATATTTCATTTAGTAATACAAGAGTTTGTTTCCAATCAAAAAAAGGGATTAACATAGTCTGACTATCACGCACCTTAATAAGGGCAGCAGCATCCTCTTCTGCTGTACCACCTATCTCACCAATAAGAATGATACCTGAAACACAACCGCCACCCATTGTCAGATGAAGAGAATAACATTGACTATGAACAAAACCAACAATGTGAAGGAAAATTTCCAAAAGAAATAAAAATCCAAAACGGAAAAATGCAAAAGCTAAAAGGACTTCAGAAAAGAGAGCTGACTAATATTTTTTTCCCCAGTATGAAATTATCAGTTATCACTACAAAGGACAAAAAGCAGAATGCACATTCTAGGCAAAATAAGGAAAGAGAAGTTTGAAAAGTAAATGCAGTAGTCCCCATCACCCACGAGAAACTTTTGTTTTCATGCACCAAAAATACCACAGATCATATAATTGAATTCCAGGTTTGAGCTTTCAGCACTTAACAACAAAAGATATGTCTCCCATTTAACCACCCACAGAATCCACAAAATCATAATTGCTAAAAATTCTTCTAAAACACTTCTATAGTATAAAAAATTTATTCATTGATAGATTATATGCAAAAAGAAAATTTTTAGCTGTATATATACTTTTAGGTACTCCTAGCTTTAGGAGGACTTGGACTCCAAAATTTGAAAATATAAAATCTGGAAAATTCGACCACTTCTACAACTACAAAAGGCCAAATGATGAACTTGATCAAAGATGAGAACTGGGGATCAATACAACAGTCCATTTCCAGAAAATCTAAAAATCTAGAATGTTCCTGACTCATGAACAATTATAAAGCATATGTAAACATGAATCAGCTCAATTTTTAGTGAAAGAAAGCAGCGAGTAGAACTCAAGTATGGTCCTATTTTGTAGTGCTTGAGAAAGTTCGTAAGGGATTATGGGGAGCAGCTTTTAAAATGCAAATTATTGGTTACTCGCAGAACTTTGTTTCGTATAAGTTATAAGAAGGGCGTGGTTCAAGGTTGCGGTTTCAGTCACAGATCTTGAGGGCATTGAGACACATTAGTAGTTGCGTCTCCTCGTTCCTTTTATCTTTTTCATCTCATACTCACGGAGCGGTACACTAAACACCAACCCAATCCCGAACAGAATGAGAAGACGGAACTAGATCAATCCACGAGGGTATCAGACGATAGGCATAGAAAACTGATAAAAGGTGGTGATCTAATCTTTCTTCTAAATGTTTCTTTGATATGCTAACATATGGTTCTAGCATACCACACTCTAGCCCTCTAAGACGGTTTGGAATGCAAAAGGTTCCTCTTAAAATTGAAGTTTTCGCTTAGACTGTTGCTCATAAAAGACTTGGTACTAATGATTTTCTTTAGCCAGGGAGAACACATTACTCTTAGTTCCCGCAGTTGTATACAATGTGAAGGAGGGAGGCGACTCTTGATCATCTTTTTCCTACATTGTCCAAGAGCTTTTTCCGTGGAATTGTGCTGGGTATCACCATCTTAATGTGATTCGATGTTTGTGATTGAAGTTTGGGGCTTGAGAAAGAGTAAAAAAGCATGCACCCAATGAAAATGTATGGTGCTGATGATCTTTTGGGTGTTACGGTTAGAAAGAAATGTTAGAACTTTTGATGGTAGTCTATGGGTGAGATTGCATTGTGGGAAGAATTTGCTTCTTGGCATATTTTGGGATTTGTTGTCTCCCCTTTTTGTGGGAATTCCATTGGTCTTTATTAGGACCAGTTGGGAATCCAATTGTGAGATGTAATTTGTATTTCTGTTTTTTTTTATGTAGTTAGTGATTTTTAGCCTTTGTATGGTTGGATCAAGATGACCAGCTTTAGAAGCCAAGCCAGAAGACCGAAAATTTTTGGTCCAAAGGAAATTGCACATGACAGATTTATTAGGATATATCTTTGTTGTTTTTATTTTAAATAACTGAAGATTTGAGGTAGATCAGATTGAGATGGTTTGCAATAAGTTGATACAGTTTTAATAGGATAATAGTTTTTATTTCAATAGGAGATTTGGCCTATAAATATCGTGTAATCCCCATTTTTATTAAGAGTTCAATTTTGATCTGAGTATTCTCTATAGGAGATTGTCTTTCTTCAATCCTTGCGAGTATGTGGCAATTCCTTCCTCTTCTTTCTTTACTTTCCCTCTCTACATTAATTAGTATAAAAGCCCAACTTAGAACCATTGTCATTGCTCGTTATTGTGCTCAGACATGCCTTTGTCACTATACATCGGCTTTCCCATCTTTTAATCACCTTTATCACTATTTCGTTGGTACCATATCAGGCCTTAACAGCTCTGTCATAGTCGCTTTTTTTTTCTTCTTTGATGGGAAACAAGAACTTTGTATTAATAAAAAAAAAAAAGTACATGAAAAGGTTGGATAACAAATCCAACCAAGAAGTAGAAAAAACAACGAAAAATGAGAAAAAAAATAAAAGCAGTCATTATCGTCACCATTCTTGCCCGCTAGTGGCAACTTTTCGGCACAAAACTAACATCACCACACAGAGCTACTACATCAGATTTTGGTTCTCCTTTGCATTGAAACATCTCACCATCTGTTGCTACAGTTATAAAGAATATGGTTTGACCAAGGAAGTTTGCAGACCTCTAGTTTACTGAATTCCATACTTTTATCCAACCCAAATTCTTTATTAAACCCCTGGCCCAAAATAGGAACTATATACAAAATTAAGACCAAAATCCAGGCCAAAATAACTCAGCCCAGTCCAAAAAACGGAAAACTGGTTCATCATATTGAGAATAGCCTAGACAATAGGCCCAGTCCAGATCTATTACAATTTTAGGATACACCCTTAAACTTTTGGGAATTCCCTTAATGCCCCTAATTGTTTCTAAAATTATATGACTAACCCAAAAGTTTCTAAACAGTTTTGACTCCCAAAGTTTCTGAAACTACAGAATTGACCCCACAAGTTTCTGAAATTACAGTTTAGCCCCCAGCTTTCCCGAATTATCTAAGAAAACTCCTTATATGGTCTCCAGATCCAAATTAAATGCCAAAGCGGAGGCTTTATCCACGAATAAGGCCATGAATGATAAGATGCTTTCTAAGCTTGTTTCCTTGATAAGAAGGGTAAAGAATTTGGGAATAATGCAGATAATGATTGATGTTTTGCATCTATCTCTATCCATCATCAACAAGCTGTTGCCCATGCCCCAGTTCGAGAACTCATATCATTCGATGTTGAGAGAGGGGTTAAGTAGATATCAATGAATCCCAAGGGTCAATAATCCCAAGGGATTCCTTGATCAATTACACAAACTCGAAAGCTTCTTTAGACGGTATCTTCTAACAGTCTGCCACATGAGAGAAAGGTGTTCTTTGCAAAATATAAATTGAAAGGTATAAAAAGACTTTGGTGGGCAAAGTATAAACAAACTCATTTTGAAGTCAATAGATCATTTGATAACTTGAATACGCTTTGACTCGACACTTCGTGCATGCAAATTATAAACCACGAGCTCATCTACAATCAGAGTTGACTAAGGGAACCATGTCTGTTGAGGAGTATATAAGAAAATTCTACATTTTGACTACAGGATGAGAGTTTCATTATATTGAGGATGTGATAATTGTTCGCACTTACCTATAAGTCGACCTTACACTACGGCAGATACAGTTCAGGTTACTTATCAGATGAATAATAGTTGAAAAGGGGGGCTTTTATAAAATCTTCTATGGCACTAGCACCTACAACTCAATGTGAGAGAACATTCACGGATGCAAGTAAAGATAAGTCATTTAGCAAACCACAATAGAATGTTTTTGTGCAAAATAAACCATCCCAACCTGGTGTTACTTCTTTTTCTCGTTGGAGTACTAAGTTACTAACCCTAGTGCGAAGATGTGATGCTTTAATTGTCCAAGATTTGGTCATTTCTCTTTTCAATGCCATACAAAGCCTATTGTGATAATTGAAAGGGAAACTCCTTCATAGAATAATGAGTCTAATGAGCTAGAATCTAAGATACAGATTGTGGAGCCCCTGTATGTAAATAAAGCTGATTTTGATGCCCTAATTGACAACCATATATCAGGTAGCATCCTTTGTCTGTTGCTAGAAAAGTTTAGCAATGGGAAGCCTAATCATCAACCGAAGAAGACTTCATCATTGATTCCTTGAACTGCTTCATCATAGGGTATTTTTAGCCCTCCCCCTCACTCACTATAGTCAAGTTCTTTTCAACAGAGAAGAATTGATAACGTAGCATGTGCATGGTTGGACCAAGATGACCAGACTTTAGAAGCTTAATCAGGAAATCAGGAAATTTTTATCCAAAGGAAACTGCACCAGGTAGATTCTAGGATTTATCTTTGTGATTTTCCTTATCATTTGAATTTAGTTAGATAGTATTTATCATATTGAGATGATTTGTTATATCAATTGGAGAATAGTTTCCATTTTAATTAGTGTTGAATTTTGATTTCGGTGTTCTCTATAGAAAATTGTGTTTCTTGACTTGATCCTTGCGAGGATTTGGTAGTTTTCCTTTTCTTTCCCTTCCCTCCATGCATTACCCTCCATTTGTTAGGTGCATTACTTGTAATTATTTACTACTGATCAAAAAGACAACAAATTGAAGGGGCATTCTTCATCTGTTGGCATCTGGGCACATTCCATTGTTAGTACAGAACCACAAATTGAAAGGTCGTCCTTCGTTCTTTCGCATTGGAAGGCTACATTTACATCTAAACCTAAGAATCTAAGCATACACTTACCTTAAAAAACAAGAAAACAGAATTTAGTCCTTTTAAGGTATATGAGACAGGATGGAACCAACTATTCTGTTCAAACATTTCACAAATGCAAAAAACAAAACTTCAACCATTCCCGGTGACATTCAAGGTATTATGAAAGGAGAAAAGTCTTCAACTTGTCTTTTCATTTCAGCATGATGGGAGGCATTCGGTATGTAGCCCAAGTTTGGTAAGGCAGATCTGGGTACAAAATCTATTGCATGATGTGGCAAACCCTTGGGTAACTCTTCGATAACCAGCTCCAAAAAGTCCTAAAACTTTTTTTGAACTTTTGGGAATTGATATGAATTTTCTTCCAATTGTTTGTTCTTTTAATTTTACCCACCAGTGTATACACCACTTAAATGAAGCGCTAATGACAAAAGAAAAATTAGTCTAGCTTACATAGAGATGGGATGAAACCAATTATTTTGTTAAAACATTTCATAAATGCAATAAACAAAATTCTCCTCCGTTTCACATTCAGACATTTCACATCAAAATTCACATCTCAATATACTCATGACTAAACAAATAAAACTCACCAAAACAAAATTGGAAGTTGCTAAGTCAATGTCTAAACCAAGACCACATGTTGAATAAAAAGTAAAGCAAAATAAACCAAATTTGAAATGAAATCACAAAAAAATGAATATTTGAAACAATACCAACTCCTACAAATTAAAAATTTTATCAGTTCCAGTCACAAGTAACAAAAATCTTGTTCGTATTTGCCTTAGTCCAAAAGCAAAAACAAGAGGTTAAGTTTTTTCCATAAAACCAGTGTTTTAAAAGCCAACCCAGCAGGTTGACCTAATAAACTAGAAGCCTAAACAGGGCCGGTTCCTCTATTTGATCGTTTGAACATCAAAACCAGAAGAAACCCGCTGAACTGGACGATTCATGAGCAAGCCATTCAACCCGGACAATTTTTAACGAACTGGCCAGATCAATTAAAATGGTATAAAAATCAGAGTTGTCCCTTTTTGGGAATTTTTCCCTAAATAGTTCATCACATCTCACATCTCTCTCTCTCTCTCTCTCTCTCTCTCTCTCTCTCTGCGCACGAAGTGTCAAAGTCAAACATTCAAAGTCGAAGAATAAGAACTCCTCACTCAGAGCTCCATCGACGATTAGATTCACTCACCCTTCATTCTCTACACATTTTCCTCCCTCAAGTGAGATATAGCAGATATATACTCTCTCCTCTGTATTCGCTTCTCAGATCTATTTTTTTGCTCCACTATTTTTTGTTATTTTTCATTTGTGTTGTTGTAGCATGGGGTTGTGATTGTTTGAATCTAGAATTTTGATATTGAATCATCCAAATTGAATATTGATAATGTGAAATGTGATTCTGAGTTTTCAGTTTGGAATTTGACATAATTCTTTGGTCTAAATTTTTGGGTTTTTGTTTGATCCAATATTACATTAAATGTGATTATTTGTATACCCACTATACTGTTTAACATATTTATTATAATTAATATTTATTTTTAATTTTTTTATTAGATGACCGGTCCCACCAGTAACCCAATGGTTGAACCAATAACCTAGTCGTTGAACCAGGTACCCAATGACCTGGTCCCTTTGTTGGGTTGATGTCCAAGCCTTTCTCTGCTTGTGTTGCACTAACTAGGCCATGTCTATGTAAAACTAAACACTTGGTCACCTTATAGCTAGAACATGCTTTATGTAGCGCGTTGGTATATGACCATCATATGCCAAAAAATAAATTAAAGTAGTTAAGATTCCATATTATAGTATTATCTAAAGTTTATGGTACGAAACAAAGTAAGAATTTCATTACAAAGGAGGCATGGGCTGATTAGAGAAATCATAATAATTATGGATGCTTACTCAACTTTGTTAAAGAGAAATAGGAGATTATTGGATAGTATACTTAAAAACAAAAAAATACATTAGAGCAACAGAAGTAACTTGTATTACCATGAAGTAATGGCTATCATATACAATGTAATACCAACTATGTAATTGGATATAGGAAAACATACTATTACTTGTAGCACGTCCTAGCCATGTCTGAGCCCTACTTTTTCATGAATTATCGTGCCAACAGGTCAGTGTACATCGTGTCTTGCTTAGTGTCCATTTCCATTTCTGTTTTTGATTCTATGCTTCATCACCACCTAGTAAGTTACTGTGCTAGATAATTTTTTCAAACCTAAAAAACTTGTAAGTAATAGAATTTTACAAGCAATCTAAAGGCACAAACAGTTTTAATGTGTGTTATCCTAAAATTCTGACAGTTCTAACCATAAAGTTGTTTCGGTTACATCATGCTCAGCAAAGTTCTTTAATGTCAAGGAAGTTCATTTTCAGTAGGTCTTATTACCATGGCCAACCATTTACTGTGGCCAATCACACAGAATATCAATAACATTACCTTCTAACCTTACCACTTGCGATAAACAATATTAGATAAGTCAAATAGGATTAAAAGCGCAGAACGTCCTTATCTTAGATGGAGGACATATTATCCTAACAAATATCATAATCAAAACATCCAATTGAAACAGTACACATTTTTGGAGGTTTTTTTACCTTCCGTCTGGTGATCAGCAAGAAACTTCTCTAAACAATTAACAAAATTTGTTCCATTGAAAGGATCGCCACCAATTCCTACACAAGTCGATTGCCCAAGGCCAACAGCAGTTGTTTGGAAAACCTACCAGATATATAACTAAGTCAATTCACTGAAATGTAGTGTGTCATGAGCCATTAAATAAACCATAGCAGGCAACCAATTTCACACATAATAGCACAATCTAGATGCCATCTAATGGATCACTTTGCCACGCCAAGTCCCCTAGCACCTGCATCCCAGGTCTTGGTGGTAGACGGAATCACAAAATCTCATATGCCGTAATCTTACTTGGATAAATCATATCAGCCTACAATTGTCAGTGAGATATTAAAATAATCAAGATACCCGCAACCATTTTGCCACACTAGGTAATAGTGGAGCATAACGCAAGTACATGATCAGTTTGGTAAGGTGGCACATTCTTTTGCTCTCGATGCAACAAGAAAATTCTACATACTTTAGGACTTTGAAATGCTGAGGAAAATCTACCATTACAGAAGCTATATACATTATAAGATAATATTCAAACAAAAAAAAGTATTCTATTTAGCTAGGCTAGTCTCAGATAATTTCCGTTTGTTTCAGTCTTATTGTCATTTAAGAACTATACAATGAAGCATTATCTCTTCAACCGGTTCAAGCAATGAAGGTTAAATATTGGGTGAATTGCACTTTGCACCCTCAAAATTCAAGAATTCACACTTTTCACCTACAAAATTAAATTTCTCACATTTCACCCTCGATGTATTAAAAGTGTTACAATGTGGTCCTTCCATTAGTTTCCATTACACATTCCGTCAACTTCAATGAAGTGCGTTTTGACGGAATAAGCATTGGTAGGTAAGGGAAGGGTCACATTAGAACCCTTTTAATACATTGAGGGTGCGATGTGAGAAATCTCATCTTTCAGGGTGCAAAGTGGAAACACTTAAACCTTTCAGGGTGCAAGGTGAGATCCCCCTAAATATTATTACTAGTTGCATGCCACCGTTTGATCTCATAAAGAGAACTATTCTAGTGAATCCAACTTCCCATTACCAATTGCTTCAAACTTGTTTTCAAGGTTGATCATATCTCCACTCAATATCAGGAGAGAGACTGGACATGATCAAGCATTACAAGCGCCCTCTGCTCAAACTTTTGTACAAGATAACAGAAAAGATATAACCAAAAACCATATATGTGATTCTTCAATTCCTCAGGGAATTAATTGTAGAACAATTACTGAGATATTATCTCCAATTATATGTATAAGCCTCCTCTTTGCTTACAAATATCTTTATTCTCATTTCAAAAACAAATTAAGGACTACCGAAATTGAGTTCAAAAGTGCATGCATCATGTCACACCCCAAATTTCAAAAAACGACGTGATTCAAATAAAAATCCTTTAATTCAAAATTTATCATGTGAGAACATGCTAAATACAATCATCCACTAACTCAAGAAAGAGAATCTATCCTCAACTAGTTAAATAGAAACCCCAAAACACCAATCCACCATTCAAAGCTTACAACCCCGGAAAAACCTCAAATCAAAAACAATTTCACAAATTTAAATCAACTATAAAAATTCACAATAGTATTTCAACATCAAAACAATTAAACTAAAACTAGAAAATCAATCTCTAAGCTTTGAAATCCGGATCCACACACTAATCCGCTTCAAAATCCCAATCAACGCTCTCACTTGAGCCTTTACCCACTTCAATACCCAAATCTAGAAAACATTAAGGAAGGGGTGAGCATAACTAGCTCAATAGAAAAACTTTCCAAACCTAAACAAGGTTTACAAAACGCATAAAAAATGGTAGGTCTCAATTTCAGAAGTAAATACACAACTTTTGATGTAAAATATAGAACACTGGTAACGATCTCATGGATTTATGCACACAAAGGAATTTACCCAAATAATCGATCCAAAGAGAGTAGGCAGTTTGATTAGTAAGAATTCAACACACTGAAATACATCTGGTCCACATCATCACAATCACGAACCATCATTCACCAATCCCCATAAAGCTTTAGGAAGAACCAATACTGACGTGCCACTATCTAACCAATTCTCCTCAGTAGTAATATATTAACCCTCTGCATCAGTCAAAGTGAACGAATAGTGGGAACCCTTGGAACCTCACCAAGAACCAGACACCTCTACTACGAATGATTGGGAATCTTCAAACCCCTTGTGGTAAAAACCTCATTGAAACACACTGCGATATATGTTCGGCTGTATTCAAGTTCGTCAAACACACCAATACATGAGATTTAAATCATACTCTTCACACATATCAAGTATGCAACAATCGATAGTTTTTGGAACTCATAAAACATGGAAGATTTCAATAAAAACATGTATGAGATCGCAAGGAAACATTCTCAAATATTCATTATCCAAGACTTAGGATTTATGAACTAAGAACGCACTAAGGATGTAAATCAGATATTTTTTTAGCACAAGCAAAGACACCCTACCTTAATCCATCACAATTGATCCTTATGTGTCTTTCGTTGATCTTTACGCACTCTTCCTAACGATCCTCGATCCAATCTCCTATTCTTTCTCCTCCTCCTTTTCCACAAGACTCTTTTGTACGGAATTTTTGTGTCCGGACGGACCTAAATGCTCGTCCGATCGAGCGTACCCTTATATCCAAACTTTCGAGCTAATTTTGACCTAGTCAAATGTCAATTCACAAAATTGTTATGAAATACATTTTGTTAAAGCTCCAAATCTTCTTTCTAATGCCCATCCATTTTTGTAAAGCTCCACGCTCCCATTCACAATATTCCCATCCAAACTACTCCCGAGTGCACGACTCATGACATGGCGTAGCCCAAGGCGTCCATGACCTTGTTTGCCCAAGTTTTACCAGTGAACCCAAAGATGTTCATCTCAATTTTCTTGGTGTAAAACTATAATCTTCTCATGTTAATTCAAGCACTAGCCTCTATCCTTAGAGACACTTCCCATTGCTAAAGAATCGTACCACAGTTGTAGAACCTCTCGCATTTCCCCAGTTGACATCACAAGATTCTCAATAGTTATAATTATCAAACTAAACACCTAATTATCCAAGAGATTGATTCTCACTTTTTAAGTTTATATTTTTTACATTACCTACATAACCACAACACTTTCATTGCGCACTCCAACACCGATTATAATTAGCGAAGTCCGCTCTCCAATTCAACACACTTGGAACTAGCAAAGTTCGAATGGTTTGTTTAATATATGTCAGGTTCCACCAAGTATATAAGCGAAACCTAACCATACATGTTATCCTATTATATCTTCCAAATCATCTACACTTACAATCCATCCTTCCCCCACAAAAGAGATTTTAGTAAATAACCAAATATAATACTTGGGCTAAAGATCAAGTTGGTAATTTTTTCTTACATCTCCCCCTCCGGGGCCCACGCGCACCCGGACCCATACTTTAAGATCAATCTTAACATCTCCACATTATTGACCAACTCAACTGCCAGTAATCCGTTCCTCCATCTCTCAAGTATTCATTCTCAATCTCCAACCTTAATCAAATAATCCACTAGAAAATCGTCATCAATTTTATTGAGAAACATAATTTTGACAATATATATATAACCAAAATGATCCCTGAGCCTAACAATTAACAATAATTTGAATAATATTTCAAATCCACCACAACCCGTGTATTTTTTGACTTGTCAAAACATAAATAGATAAGAAGTAACTGGAGTTAAACTTAATGGAAATTACATAATATTTCTCAAGAGTCAAGACATTGATATGTGAAAGTCCCAAAGGAAAGATTAAAAAATTAATGGTGGCACCAGGTCAAAATATCAAGAGGTTTTTTATATGTACTAAATTGTATAGTGATTAAGGCAAATGGCAGGGGGACCACCGGCACACCCTGGCCTAAGTGTGGCTCTGCCACTGAGGATCATTCCAAAATGTTCTAACAATGTCAAAGGCCAAAGCAACAAATATATACACAAAATATATATACAATTATTCATTTATATTTCCTTTTGGTAAGCACAAAGGCAACTAATATTAGATATCATACTGATGCATACCACCATGAATCCATGTAAAGTAACATACTTCTGGGAAAAAAAAGAGAAAGGAATTGAGAAAAAACCAGGATCACTTCTGCTTTCAGTGTCATGGGAAGCATTATCAGGGGAAAAAAAAGGCTCTAAATATAGGGGAAGAAAACAGTTGCGTTAAAAGAATTACTTTAGATGTGACTTGTGTACCACTCCTGGCAGGTAAACAATGGTAGAATAACTACTACAATGAAAACAGCAAGAGCACAGCTCTGGTGTTGGAAAGGCTCGGATGTCATTAAGAGCAAGCACTTAGAGCAGAAAAGATAATTAGAGCACTGTGAATGAAATCTGTCTAACACGGGGACATCCTCACACACTTCTATGAGGCAAGGTGTTATCACTATAGATGCTTGTCATCTGCTGCTCATGTGCTTTTGCCATTCCTGAAAGGATCGTAGGAATGCCCCCCAGGCCTCCATGCCTGGGCTTCAACCCTTGTAAGTTTGCATCATTTGCTGACATCAAACCCAAACATACTTGCCTGACACATTCACAAAGTAAAGCAAACATGCTACAATTTACACAGGAATTGATGCCACTGTAGATGACGGATTAAACAAGTAATAATGGACTTCACTACTTCTTGTGATTTCAAATGAAGTGAATGATGAGAACTTATGATCAAAAAAGATGACAATCAAATGAAGATTATGCAACTTTTTAAATGTAGAAAATTGTTGTTCAAGGGTATTTGATCAAGAGTTCCAAAACCATAGCCAAACACGCACTCACACACCCTGCCTAAAGGAAAGAAATATAAAATGAACAAAAAAACACTATTCAGAAATCCATTAAAAATTCTCTCTGAACATCAAAATTGAAGGGAGACATCTTCCAAGGGGGGACAAATCACAAACACTAAAGATAAGACTGCATACAAGAAATCCTATGGCAGGTGTCCCATTGATCAGAGGGGCTCACAGCATAAAAACAACACAAGATCTGTCAACATCGTTACAGTTCCTAGAGACAATATTAATGCTCAAGAAATAAACTTCACCGCTTCATAAGTCAATGTGCCAGATCGAGAAACAATTCCAATACGTCCTGGTTTGTGAATGTACCCAGGCATAATTCCAATTTTGCATTCTCCAGGCTTGATGATACCAGGACAGTTAGGACCAATCAGACGAGTTTTTGACTGCTTGTTAAGAGCAGCTTTCACCCGAACCTGCAATTTACCATTATCAACTCCAATATTAATGAAATAAACTGTTAGTCCAGAATAATAGAAAGAGAACAATAACTATAGTATGGGCTCTCTAAATCAACCAAACACTTGAAAGTAAATTACACGCATACCTCATAATACAAAAGCTATATTTATCGAAATAAAAAACAATCCGGTCTCGTTTAAGTTGAATTTAAGAGCCCAACAGAAGTTTTGGGCTTACAAAATTTGCCAACATCCATCATTCTTGTTCCCAAGCCAATTTAGATCATTAATTAATCTACCAGAACTGAAGCTTATGAACACATAGAACCAGAAGAAAAATATCAAATATGACAGCATAATAATGAATAAATGATCCACTTTCTCAAAGGACCAGGAACCATAGATGTTCATGGGACCACTCAACCCAAGAGATGCGGAAAATGTGACCTAATAATCAAATCAAAAACCACTTTTAGACTAAAGCTTACTGAAGTTCTTATTGCTCAAACTTAAGGGATTTTTGCACTTTGCACCCCAAAAGATTTCTTGATTCCCACTTTGCACTCTGAATGCCATAAATTGATTCCAAAGTGGCCCTTCTGTTTTAAATTCCACTTAAGATTTCGGGGTGCAAAGTGGGAAAAATAGCCTTTGGGGGTGCAAAGTGGGAATCAAGAAATCGTATAGGGTGCAAAGTGCAAAAATCCCCAAACTTAAAGGTAGTCCTCCACAGTTCTTTTCAACTTAAGGTAGAGAGTCAACTCGTGACTTAAAAAGTCTGGCAATAAGCAATAGTAGTAGTTTTGGGTTTCTCAACATACTTGTTTAACTTTATGTGTTTTATCTTTTTACTTAATCTCTCAATTTGTTGATTTGTCTCCTAATGAACAAATCTATGCTACTTATTTTTTTTATCAGCTATAAAAAAAGGTTGTCCAGTGCATGAGGCCCCCACCACTCCTTGGGTCTGAGGACGGCCAGAATGTACACATTTCTACCCTCGCATGCAAAAAGACTATTTCCTCAACTCAAACTCTTGACGCCCATAAAATATTTCCTCTAACTGACCTAAATACCTTATTAAAATACTAAATAACATTACTTTCCTCTAATAACTCAAAAGGACATAGATATCTGTTCATACTTATAACTAGTTATAAATACTACTCAATAACACTATTACCATTTAATAATTCATTAAAAAAAAACACACAATTCATGTATCTCTCTATAAGTACGTTTATATTTATATTTATATTTTATAAATACAAATAAAACAACAATAAAAAATAATTCTGTAGATGTTACTTTAAGACAACACTCCTACCATTAAATAACTCAAAAACATAAAAACTCATTTATAATATAAACATATTTATTTGAAATACGAACACAATGAAAATATAAAACAATAAATAAAAACTATTAAATCACTATATAACCTTTAAGAATACATTAAGAAAGCACTACCCTTTTAGATTAAAATTAGTATTATTCAAGCTTTTATTTCCAATTACTAGATTTACCTTGCATAAATTTCTACTTATATTTTGATGACACAAACATAAACTTGAAAAATATGGGGTGTCATTAAATTAAGTACACAAATATTTTATATATATGTAAAAAAAAATTGTAGATTTTGTGAAAAATTTTATTACCTAACTTTCCTCGATGCAACACATGTGGTGCAGTACTAGTAAATCAAAAGGATCACAAACATACAAGGACTAAGAATCCTTCAAAAGTAGAAAAAGAAAGCTAGAACCAAGTTAAACATTGTCCATGGCAAGGAAACCAATTTGCCAGATGATTAATCAACTGATGGACCCTAATAATTGAGCACCTACAAGCCAAGACATAAATATGATATAGCCAGTGTAGTAGTACTCTCCTTCAATGAGTATATCCCAACGACCTAGCTCTTAGCTCATATGAGAGCAAACAACTCAACTTTGATGATTGACCCTCACCATGGGAGCTTCTCCGTTGTTCGTAAAGAATAGCACACCGTGCCGTTTAGCCAAAAATGTCCCCGTTTTACTTATTTCCCATAGCATCACATGGGCCCCAAAGACGGCCCACTAAACACGACGCCGTAACAATAACTTTGCACGATCTTCCCCCCTCCCAAAAAAAAAGCTTACCCGCCAAACATTGCACATTGCACAGAAAATTCCGATAGCTCTTCCCACTCTCCATATTCTCTCAACATCTCTTCCCAATGAGAGCCCTTGCAAAAACCACCATTGGTAGGCACATCTTGAAAAAAATTTCCATTCAGTTATGTATAAGAATTTTCCAAGCTTCCATAACACACACCCGGTGGTCGACTGTGATAGTAAACAAAATGGTCCTCTTTTGGTCCAATACTTACAATCAATTGTCCTAAAATTATAGAAAGATGATTTTAGTTTAAGACAAATGAAAGAATTAAACCCAAGTCTTGGATGTGCTTGTTATACATTTGAACCAACATCTTGAAGTTAACCGGTGCCACAACCGGAGTTTGTTAGTGCTTCAGTTCAAAGAAATATTTTTGCATCTTCTACAAATGAGTTTTGATTTGTTTTGATTTGGTATTCTGTGGATGATACAAGGCTTTTGAGGAAGAATTGAAATTGTTTTGATTTTGCTCGTTATTTTGCACAAAAGAAATCGAGATTCAAAGTCAGAACAAGTATATCAAAAAAACAAAAAGAAATCAAGATTCAAAGTCAGAACACGTAAATCAAAAAACAAAAAAGAAATCGAGATTCAAAGTCTTATTGTGAGGGTAAAATGGTAATTTGAATGCATGGGTTATTCTTTATCCTCTGCTTTCCTCCAATACCACACAAACAACTATTAATGTTGACTAATCTAGATAACATTAAATTTGTTAAAACGAAATGGGTGAACAATTAAAAAATGAGATCATTCAAGAATACCTATTGAATGTGAAGATTATGCATTGAAATTCTGGCAAAAAGGCTATTTAAAATCCATAATCAAAAAGGCTATTTAATATAGGCAAGGAGGTGATTTGTTGTTGGGCGATTTAGCTAGCCAAATCACACAAATGTGATTCATTCTTTCAACTTTTCCATGCGTCCTACCAAATAAAAAGGAGGAAAAGGATATTTCTTTCCTCTTGGATGGAAAATCTATTTCTTCAACTTTTGTTTCCTTCTGCTTTTCTATCCCTCCTATCAAACAGTTCTCAAACATTTCATCCCTTTCAATAATACCAGCATTTCAAACTAGAAAATATTTTGACACATAGAAGTTTGAAGTGCAGACTACCTTTTAATCCTATGCAACAAGGGAAACGGGTATGCAAAGAAGCATACTGCCTTTCAGTCATATCCAATAAAGGATTTGCCAAATTAGAGGTTTCTAAACATTTTAGTGATTTCAATAACACCAATATTTTAAACTAATGGCGACACAAAGAAGTTTGGAGGACTAGACTGCCTTTTAGCCCTCTGCAATAAGGAAAACGGTTACACAATGAAGCAAACTCTATCAATCTTAAGCAATAAAGGAAATGGGTATATGATTGGTTCCAAAATAATGTCGCCCCTAATGCTCTTAAAGCAAAAAAAATTACTAAATATTGGAGGTAACATTAAACACTTCAAATAAAGTATTTTTCCCATTTCTCCATGGTGGAATAGGAGGGGCACATGGTTTCATAGCACCAACATAGCAAGAGGATATTTGATTTCAACCACACATGAGGCTTGGGTATGTTTCAAAAATAAAATGAGCATGAGTAGTAAAGTTCAAGGGGCAACAAGTCATTGCCCCAATTCTAATCCCCAAAACTCCATAAATAACTAAAAAGACATCGCTTGTTGCAAACTAAATTCTCAATCCATTTTTTATTTGCATCACTGAATGAATGTCAAAACTCCAAAGCCACTTTTTTCTCACAAGAGCCTCTTTCCAAATTCCCATAACCCAAACCTCACATTGCTAACCACCTAGGACACCAACACACTAACCATCACATGCTTCATAAACCTTCACCGGACAAACCACCTAACAAACTAACACTAATGCTACATTTAACCCTTAATAACTTTCAACATTATTGACCACTTTAGACAGCATTATAAACAAGGAGAGGGCATAGATTGGAATGCTCGCAAGGTTGAAGAGGGTGATTGTACCCATAAGAATTATTTGAAGATCTGTAACCCTTCTACCTTCTCCACAACAAGTTTGATAACCTTAAGTACCATAACATAAATTAAAAGATGGCCTAGGGACATTAAAGGCCACCCATTAATGTCCAAATATAGTTGTCAAATCGCGTATCGAAAGGCGTATCGTTTTTAAAAAATAGTGTATCGTATAGTATCATGTATCGTAAGATACTTACAATTTTAATTTTTAAATAATTATTAATAAAATATATATATACCATTGTAAAAAAGTCATAGACTCATAACAACATTGCATTTCATTAATATTCTATCAACTATTCAAGTTTTCAACATAGTTCAGTAATATTAAAATGCAAAGACTTCTAATTCAAACTTCTAACATCAATTGCTTGAACACCTTAATATTAATCAAGAATCTTGAATTCAATTGAACATCAGCAGACTTTTTTTTTTTTAAACCATAATCACTGAAACCACATTATTTCACTTGCTAGTGATTTAAAAATAAATTCTAAGATAAAACGATGTCATTTCAGCCCCAAAAATAAAAAAACAGAATCGTCACATATCGTATCGTGTATCGTACGATACAGTGCAAAAACGATACAGAGACGATACGTATCATTTTTGTAGTGTATCGTGATGTATCATACAATACGTATTGCATATCGTACGATACTAATAACTATGTGTCCAAATATAAGAAGTTCCGTTATTAGACTCAAACTCTACCAATGTTACCTAGATTGTGAGTCGATTTGATACATGGTACAGGTATGCAATACGATACTACTTTTAATAAGCAATATGATGGCGTTAATAGTACATTGTTTTAGGTCATTATTCATTTTGTAATTATTATCAGGATCATTTTCATTATTATAAGAAATTATATATAAGTATACATTTATATACACAAAGTTAACTAATATTTATTTTGTACAATTACACCACCTATGGCACAGGTTGACGCATTTTTGTGTCCTTCAAATGACTTCGTGTAATCCGACAACTGCACAAGTCATCAATCACTGTCGGCTTTAGGTTATCAAAAGCTCTTTGACACTCTTTTGAAAAGTACAATGCCATGATTGGCTCATACGTCCTTATTTATGATGTAACGACATATTCAAAAATGCGTGATCGTATTTAATAGGCTACCTACAAAAAGAGTTTACCATTAGCATAACAATTCATTTTTGTATGTAGAGCGTAAGGCCATGTCTCCCGAACGATCATGTACAACCGCTCATCCAATATCAAAGCAATGGGTGGATTTCACTTCAATTCACTTTCCCCATAACATAGCCGAAAGGGATAGCGTATAAAAGGAAGAGGGAGTACATGTCCTTACCCTTAAGATGCTTAGACACGGCTCGAATACAACAAAAAATTGGAAAAAAATTTCAAAAGATGCTTTCGAAGTGAAAGTGAGTTATATTAGATGTATGTTACCCTTCAAAACATGGTTTAATTTCTCTACCTGCATTTATAGCATGAAAAATATGGGGAATAAAAATTAAGGAATGATGATATTGAAATCTTACTAAAAAAGAGAGAGAAGGGAAAAAAAAAAGTGCAATTTTGCAATCAAAGTGAAAATCTTCCAATTCTATGCATCATCCCGTATCAATGACATCTATTTGAAGGAATACTCGACGCCTTCGACTTAAATAGAAGTAGAGGGCATCATTCCACAAGTGCATAAAAGATTATTGGGTTTCGGTAACTAGCCAAACACTAATGAAAGTTGTTAAAGCTCAATATTTAAAGCCTAAAGTAGAGGGATTGTAGTAATTCAGATTTTATACTACTTGGAATGGCTCTCTTATATTGAGAAATTTTGTCTTGTGTTCTCACCACATTGGTTGGTTGTTGGATCAACCTAGGGTGTGTTCCAGCGAAGCGCATCCCTAGAAAGAATCATCCAACCCAAGTTGTTCTCTGCCAGCCTCATCCAAGAAATAAAGAGGTCGGACGGGGAATATAAATAGGATATCAGCAGAAATGTAGCTAGGTTACCATGTCATGCTGAGGAATTCCTTCTGTGATACACACAACCAGATCTAATTCAGCCTCCATTGCCTCCATAATAGCTGCTGCGGCAAAAGGAGGAGGAACATATATCACTGATGCATTAGCTTTTGTTTCAGCCTTTGCTTCTGCAACTGTGTTGAAAACAGGGAGTCCCAAGTGTTCTGTTCCACCTTTTTTTGGCGTAACCCCTCCAACCTATCAAAGCACATGTGGAATGTGAAAAAACAATCAAACCCCTCTCATCAAACTCAGAAGCATACAACATTATTCTAATAAATATAAAATAAACAACATGGGTACGTGAAACACGAATTGAAAAGCTGAGGAATTAAAAGAGGTGTAACATCATTATCGGCATGACTACATGAGCACTAATGCTCCGTTTGGTAGAAATGATGGAAAGTAGGACGTATGGAAAGTAAAAGAGATACACTTTCTATCCTTCAAGGATAGAAAGTATGAATGATACATTTTCCTTCCTTTGTGTTTGATTGGATGGATAAAAAATAAAAATAGTCTTTTTTTTTCCCCTCTAATGTTAGGGATGGCAATCGAACCGTGTCGTGTCAGATTCGTGTTCAGTCATAAAATTATGAGTCTTTTATATTTCTTATTTGCGTGTCAGATCATTTTTAAGTTCGTGTCGAGTTATAATCAAATTCGTATCATAAAATTTGTGTTGAGTTTGAATCGTGTCATCATGTTTAATTAAAAAATTTCACCCCTAGTTAAAATGAAAAAAATATTTTTTTAATTTAAAATTTTTTATTTTTTTATTTCTTTTTTTTTAATATATATATATACACACGTATATTATCATTGTATTTTTATGTTAAATTAATATATACATAATATATAAACAAATAAAATATATCTCAACACAAATAATTAACTTTCCATTCACTTTCCTTCCGATTTTGAAGGATTAATTTTAGTGAATTGAAAAAAAAATTAATCCATTCATTTTTTCATCTTTCCTATTTTTCTTCCTTATCAAACATGATATTTGATTTATCATCTAATTTTTCATTCTTGCAACTTTTCATCCTTCTATTTCTCTGTCGTACCAAACAGAGCATATAGTTCGCAAGGATTCCGTTCCAGCTATATTGCACATAAATAGAACCCTAGTTCGGCCTCTTGTTTTGCTAAATCCAAAACCACTAGTCGGTTGCTATTTTTTATCAGCCCACTGTTTGGTTACTCTTGATGGTTTAAAGCAAAAGCGTCCGGAATTTCCTTTATCATAGTTAATACATGCCTGTTAAGGAATCATATCATTTAAAACTACCCAAAAAATTAGCTCATAAACCCAGTCCACAGATCCAATTGCGTTGTATATCGGAAACCCAGTTAACAGATCCAAAATTTAGTCAAAACACACTGCACTAGGATCCGACTAGAACCACAGCAAGTATACACTGATTACCATTTTGGTGCCGTATTCGATGGCTTGTTCAGCGTGGAAGGTGCCATTCTTGCCGGTGATGCCTTGGCAAATGACGCGAGTATTCTTGTCGACGAACACCGCAGGTGGAGGTGGAGGCGGAGGCGATCCAAAATATCGGGTTTGCGACTTTAAATATGACGACGGCAATAAAAAAGATTCAGAAGTGAAGGTGGGTTTGCTAGGGCAGAGCTTTGAAGACAGATTAGTTATTAGTCTTGTGGCTTGTCGAGCCATCTCTGTTCTCTCTGCCTCTCTCTTGGAGGTGTGTGTCGGATTTTTATGTTGAAAGAAAGATTAGATCTGATTTTCGGAGTCTGTCAAACAGAGGGCATAGAGCTGAGAAAACCCGATTGAAAGGTTTAAGAGAAGAGTAAGGAAGAAAACTTTTGGGCGGACATTCTCGACCCACAAATATTTGTTTAATACAACACGTAGGACTTAGAATTTTTATCTCTCGCGTATTTTTTTCGAAAAAATCATCTCGTCGCCTAATTTTATCACATATTTAATTATTTAATATTTAATTAATTTATAATTTAATATAATTATTATTTTATATGTTGTCCGTATACGATAATATACACGTGTTAAAAAAAATTTATCGAATTATTCATTTTAAGAAAATTTTGATGTTATTTTTTAAAAAACAATAAATAGAAATTAATTTTAAATGATGTAATCAAATAAATAAATAATTATTATTTAGTATAGTAGGATTATTTTTTTAAATGATTAATTTTATATTTTATAGTGTCTTCAAACACGAATTATAACTAGTTTATTTTCATCTCATCTAATTTTTTATTGTTAAACTATTAAAGTTCCGTTTGGTACGATAAAAACATAGAATAATAAAAAATTAAAAAGATAAAAAATTAAAAGAATGAAAAGATGGAGGAATAAATAAAATATCATGTTTGGTAGGAAAGAAAAACAAGAAAGATAGAAAAGTGGATGAATTAACTTTCCTTCTAACTCATCAAAATTAATCCCTCCAAAATCGGAAAGAAAATGAATGAAAATTTAATTATTTGTGTTATGATGTATCTTATTTGTCTTATTAATTTCATATAAAAATACAATAAAAAATAGGTATTTATATATATATTTTTAAAAAAATTAAATAAATTTAAAAAAAAAAAATATTTTTCCATCTTAATTAGGGTGAAAATTTTGGACTCAATACGATAACACGATTCAAATTCGACATAAATTTTATGACACGAACTTAAAAATGACCTGACATGCGAATAAGAAATATGAATGGCTCATATTCAATTTAACCCATCAAACTCAAAATTAACACCATCAAACCGTTTATTTAAAAATAAACACTTTATATATTTTCTCGTTTATATGGTTACACAAAATTAACACGAAAACTATCATGTTTAATTAGTATTATAGACATAAAATGTTAATTATTTATAACTATTTATGACACGAACTTAAAAATGACCTGACATGCGAATAAGAAATATGAATGGCTCATATTCAATTTAACCCATCAAACTCAAAATTAACACCATCAAACCGTTTATTTAAAAATAAACACTTTATATATTTTCTCGTTTATATGGTTACACAAAATTAACACGAAAACTATCATGTTTAATTAGTATTATAGACATAAAATGTTAATTATTTATAACTATTTATTAAGCACTGACATAATTATTATATAAAAAAATATTTTTACTTATTATTATTATTATATTTATTTTAGTTAATTTTTAGTTTGTAGAAAAAATATGAATATGGATTCAATTAAGTGAAAATATAATATTAGCATTAAATTTTTTATTCAAAATTTATGCGGATCAACACTAAGGATAGCAATTAACTAGGAAAAAATGAGTATTCGTCCAAATCCGTCCTGTTTGGATCGGGGATGGACTATACGTATTGGACAATTGACGTATACGAGAATACCCGTGTGAGGATGAAGGCGAGGATGGACTAACACTTACCTCCGCCCTGCCCCTCCCCGTCCCCGCTACACTTGTTATTTTATATATATATAATTAGTCTCAAATATAAAACTAGTTTTTTGGTGTCTTGTTTGTTTGAATGTTGGGGATTGTCATTAGTATTTTTGTTAGTTTTATAGTCAATGGAAGTGTTCAGATCTAACATGGTCTATTTGAGTTGTACACATAGCATATAGGGGTTGGTGAGAGACCACTAGACCATGAACTCCCCTCAAATCCCAGTTGTATGACAATATAGATTGTGTAGGCTTATACATATTGGGAAAATTGAAGTGTTCCACTCCATTTTGTATATAATCAATTTATGGCTAATTTGTGCCTAATTAATTTGTTTTAGTAAACTTCTATCGACATCGTGTGAATTGTTGCTGAGTTTTTTGGCACGAACAAATCACATTGTACAAGTTTGTATGACTGTTTATATTAGCGGTTTGAAATTTCACCAATAGTGAATGTTTACTTATTAGTTTAAGGAAATGTGCTTCATCATGGAGTTGGCCCTGATATTTTCTATCAGACCTAGCCCTTCGGAGAATTTTGGCCATGGAATTGCCCACTCTCTTACATATGAGTTAATAGTCTTTACATCTTTTTAAATGATATTGCTTAATTAATAATTCTTTACCGTAAATAAGTGAATTGATTTTTAAGTGAATTATTAGTATCATAATATATTATGTGAAAGTTTATTTTTACATGTTGATTACAAGCATTGATGCAATTGTGGCTATTTTTATGTTGGATTATGTTGCAAATAAGGTTTTAATTATATAATGTTAGATTATGTTATAGACAATCTTTTAATTATGTTGGATTATTTAGAATGTTGTTGGATTATTTAGAATATTGAATTTATTTGAAATTTTGAATTATGTTAACTTGGACTTGGGCTAGGATGGGGTCGGGGTGGGGGTGGAGATTATAAATTTACCTATGGACGGGGGATGGGGATGAAAACTATACTCGCTAACAGGGATAGACCAAGGATGAACAAAGTTTTTTTAAGCGGGTACGAGGATGGAGACTGCACCCCCCACCCCCACTTCGGTCCACTGTCATTCCTAATCAACACAAATACAAACACGAACATGACACAAAAATAAATAAATCAACTCGACATGACACAATTAATTAAATGAGTTGAGTTATGTTTGACTAATGTTCGATAAAAACTTGTAATGACTCAACACGAACTTGACACAATACGACTCGATTGTTACTCCTAATCTTAGCCAGCATAACAAAAAAAAATTAATCATTTTTATTTTTCATCCATCTTACCAAACACAAATGAAGGATAGTGTATTGTTCCTGTTTTCCTTCCTTAAATGATAGAAAGTGTATTTCTACTACTTTTCATCCTTCCTACTTTTCATCCTGCCTACCAAACGAAGCATAAGTTCGTATCCTTCTACAATTATCCCATTAATAACTAGGCTTAATTACACTAGAGGTCCCTAAAGTAAGGGGTTTGTCTCATTTTAGTTCTTAATATTTCAATTACATCATTTTAGTCCATAAAGTATTGAATATGTTTCTATATGATCCCTCCAATAGACAACGTTCAGATTGCTAGTAATTTTTTATCATAAACTTATAATATGATACTTAAATATGAACAAAAAAATAATTTGAATAACTCTTAACCAAATTTCTACTCAAATTTTGCTTGAATAGCTATCCAAATTACATAGCTTTGATCATGAACTATCCAAATTTTGGTCAAAAGCTACCCATATTATATATTTTTTGTCAAAAATTACCCAAATTTTGTTTAAGAGTTATCAAAATTATTTTTTTTTATCCAAATTTAGGTATTACATGACAAGTTTATGATAGCAATCTAGACGTTGTCTGATTGAGAGATCATATAAAAACATATTCAATATTTTAGGTACAAAAATGATGTAATTAAAATATTATGGACCAAAATTAGACAAAACTCATACTTTGGGAACTTCCAGTGTAATTAACCCTAATAACTAAGTTCATTCCATTCTATACACATCCTTTTAATAAGTAAGTCCACCTTGTGTGTTTTTCACAATTAGGGTTTCATTCACTATTTAATCTCATACACCCACAAAACACTTTTTCAATATATATAAGACACGGGTTAGTATTACTTTTTAATTTAATTCTATGTTTGATTTCATATGTTATATGAATTTCTATTATTTTTGGTGTGTGTTGGAATCTTTGTCAATTAAGGACAAACTTCATCCACACCTCCTATAGTAAAGTCTATCTTCAATCACACCCCTTGTATTACCTAAAACTTCACTAGCACCCCTTATCAAAGATTGTTTGCTTACAACATTAATGGAGAAGGTTGTTCTACAAAAATACCCTTAAGTATTCTATATATATATATTAAATACAAAATTTTGTGAATACATTTCAAAACCCTAAATTAACTAAAGTTATTTAACCAAATATATGTAATGACCCAACTCTAGTCTGTTAACCATCTCTATCCTCCTACATACTCAAAAAATCATATATCCATTAGCAGGGCCAAACCAATCAATAAGAGAGCCCTAGGCGAAAAGATTCAGCGAGGCCTCAATGCTATACAATATAATAATATAGATACAACAAAATAAATACTAAAATATTAATATATATTCATCTATTTTTTTTTTTTTTTTTGTATTTGAGATGTAAAAACTATTAGTTTTGCATTCAAACTTTAGTCATAAAAGTTGAATTTAGATATCAAAATATCATTAAATCTGCTATCAATTTTTTTTTGATCAAAATCTGCTATCAATTGAAATATGAAGAAAAAATTTATAATTTATTAATATAATTAAATTATTTTTCAAAAAGCAAATGTTAGTAAGATTTTTGAATAGTAAACTACTTAAATGTCGGTTTCGTTAGGGTCATGTCAACTTGTTGATTTGAGGGGCTGAATAATTTCATCCGTTTATTATCAAATCTACTAAGGCTAGACTCAAACTCCTTAATATTGTATCTAATGATACCCAAAATATGGCTAAAGGTCTAGCTCAGGCATTCAGCTCGAATTGGCTAAGCTCGTACCTTGTAGCTTGAGGTGAGCAACCATGGCTACAGTTCAGCCTTCCCCCAGCAACAACGCCATCAAGGTGACAACGAGGATATCGGCTAGAGATAGCCAAACCGTTACACATAAGGCGCAATTGTCTCGCACTCAGGCAGGAAAGTTGTAACCGCCTAAGCGCCATCCACGATAGCTGTGTAACAAACGCAACCATT